TGGCATCATTGATGGACTCAAGTGTGGCAGCGGTAGTGAGGTTGGCCCAGGATCGGACATTGTTTCGTTCTGCTGTGCATGGGGTCGCTATGAGTTAAGTGCTATCAAGTCAGTTCTGACTCATAATGACTCTGTATAGGGTTCCTGAGGGGTGACTGGTAGATTTGAACTGCCGACCTTGTGGTTAACAATCCAGTGATGGTAGGTTGCATTTTTGTTGTTGTTGTTAGGTGCTGTCATCAAGTTGGTATCAACGCAGAGTGACGCTGTGCTCAGCAGAATGCAATGCTATCTGCCTGGTCCTGCGTCAATCTCACAGCTGCTATGCTTGAGCCCATCGCTGCTGCCACTATGCCAGTCCATCTCACTGGACGTCTTCCTCTTTTTCACCAGTGCTCCACTTTACCAAGTATGATGTCCTTCTCCAGGGATTGGTCCTCCTGATAATATGTCCAAAGTCTGAGAGAAAAAGTCTGGCCATCCTGTCTTCTTAGGGGTATTCTGGCTGTACTTTGGGTTTTCTACTTTTGTTTAAGATTTGTTCCCTAACTTAACGTGAAACAACAAACAAGTATTATATCTCATGCAATTGCTGAGGGGCAGGTCTAGGTAGTTCTGGCTCAGTGTAACCCATGAGGTGCAGCTACCTGAAAGGTCATCGGAGGCTATTGGAGTTGCTTCAAGCTCACGCATATGGTTGTCAGCAGGTCTTAATTCCTGGATGGCTGTTGGCTGGAGGCTTCAGTTCCTCACCAGGTGGACATGGCCGACAGTTTCTCCCAACTTGCAGCAAAAGAGAGAGAGGAGCTCTCCCAAGGTAGAAGAAGCTGCAGTGTTTTGTTTCGTTTTGTTTTTTCCATTTCTTCTAATCTCTCTCTTTTTATGTAGTAATTTTTAAAACATTAAGCACAAGCCTAACATATACTCAGCCATTATAAATTTAGGCATTTGCAAAGGTATAAAAGAACATGTTCACATAAAAACTTATACATGAGTGTTAATAACAACTTTATTTATACAATCCCAAAATTATAAACAATCAAAATGTCAAACAATAGTCCAATACAAAAACACTTGATACTGTTCATATAATGGTATGTTATTGATAAGTGCTATTGAGTCATTTCCGACCCATAGCAACCCTGTATAGGGTTTCCCAGGAGTGGCAGGTGAGCTTGAACCACTGACTTTGCAGTTCAAACTGATTTTACAGTCCAGCGCATTAACCCACAGTGCCACACTAGGACTCTGTGTAATGGTATATTGCTCAACAATAAAGTAAAACAAACTGTTGAAAAACAGCAACATGAATCACTCTCAAAGTAATTATCCTGATGAAAGAAGCAAAACACAAAAGGGTACATACATAGTGCTCCATTTATTTATAGTTCTCGCAAGATGCAAAACTAAGCTATAATGAGTGAGTGGTTATCAAAGGTTAATTTGATGGGCGGTTGTGAGACAGAGGAGAGGATACTAAAGGATCACAGGGGAACCTGAGCAGCTTATCATTTGAGTATTGTGAATGTTACAGTGCCTTTTACAATCTAATCCTGGAAGAAACATAACGTCACTTCTGCCTTTTTCTCTCCATCAGACAGACCAGCTCTGATACGTGTGGAAGGGGACTACTCAAACTTGCAATGTGAAAACCAGGAGACAGGGATCTTGAGGGACCATCTAAGAGACTAGCTACCATACTTGCCTTTTTCTTTCTAAGTCACTTAAAAGAACTTTGCTACTACAGAGGTGGCAGTAGGCCTAGTTCAGGCCTCTATTATATAAGCTTCTGTAGTAAAACAATGAATACATTGTAACCAGGATAGTTATAAAGTATTGAACTTTATACTTTATAACTATTGAAAAAAATTTTATGTAACAGAACACTCCAGATCTGCATGTGTACATGTGTGTTAACTACGGGTTGATTTTGACTTGTGGTGATTCCATGTATACAGAATACAAGTACTCTGTAGGGTTTTCAAGGAAGCAGAGTTCTTAACAAGTGTGTGGTGGAGTGGTCCCACCCAGTGAACAACTAATAATAATCAGGGCTCAGTGGGGTTTTTTTAGGTGCCTGTGGATGAAGGAATCAATCATTGGATGGGAGGATACAGAGAAAGCAAGGCAATACCTGATAGAAATGAGATAGACAATTCATGCTTTCAGAGAAAGTGTTTCTGGGAAGCTTCAGTGTGAGGGAGAGGCTTTGAGTGTTCTGAAAACCTTCCTTATGGCTCTGGTCAGCTCCCGGCTGCCTTGGTACAACATCCGGAGAGCACGTTTCCCTGTGTTTGTTTGGAAGAAGGTTGCATGTTTGAAAAGCAAGAGAGGCTGCTGGGTTGTTGCTACACTCTGTCTTCAAAAAGCTCGTGGAAAAACTCCATTATCTTTTCATTCCATTTTCACTACAAACTTTTTGAAAATCCCATCTTCATAGGAGAGGAGGAATGCCCTGCTTGTCCTCAGTACCTCCCCACGTCTCTTACCTCCTTCCTGTTGTTATTATCCATCACATTCCTTGATGTCATTCAAGTCATTGTGAGCCCACAGGTCCTTCCACCCTGGGGGGCAGTCCACTAGTCAGGGAGGGAGGTGGGGGAGCAGTGGTCACACCAACATCTTGAAGTTGGGCTGGGTCTGCGTGGAGCCCTAGAGATGTTCCTCAGCCTCTTCTTCCCAAGAACCAATGAGTAAGATTAGGGGCCTCCCACCTGAGGTCAAGGAACCAGGCCCTGGAGTGGAACTTGGGGTAGAAAATGGCCTTCTTTGTCAACTGATTCATTCTCCAGAATTCAACTTGTTCGCTGACTCTGCAGTGTTTGAAAGCAACTTTATCCAGGTAACTTTGTGTAGTAATCCTTCCCTTTCCAAAACCGGTTCCAAGGGGTTGGCAAGACATTCTGGGGCCTTTGACAGCCCAGGGGGAGGGGGTGAGGAAAGACCACTAAGGCTAGAGAAAAGCAAAGGGTCTGGGTCCCATGGTCACCTCAGCCTGTGTACAGCATCACGGAGAAATCAGAGCCCACTCTCTCTCTAGGCTGGGTCCACAGGCCCCCTTCTTGGGGTCAAAGAGAATGAAAGGTGCTGTCCAACCTCCTCTCTCCCAGATGATTTGGAAACAGCCTTCTTTAAGAGCAAGGCCACCGGGCCAATCGGCCATGCCCAGAATCTTACAGCCCCCTGAAGACTGAAGGGGTGAAATGGAGAATTTGTGGCCTGGGGAAGCCTGGAGCCACTGTGAGTGCAGAGTGGAACCCAATCTTAGCCTGCCTCCCTCCCCAGTGGTCTGGCCTGCACCTCTAAATCTGTGCTCATGCCAACCCCATGTGTATCACAGTAGAAGTGGGCTCCGTAAGTTTTCAGTGACTGACTTTTCAGAAGTAGATCTTCTGAGGCACATCTAGGAGGACTCAAGACTCCAATTTTTGGTAAGCAGGGTTTGGGCCACCCACAGACTCTTTGTTTTGTGACATATATGCATTTCATTATACAATATGGGCTCTCAGAAATGGTTTTTTTTTGTTTTGTTTTGTTTTTTTTTACAACATTCCCCTTTCTCAAGCCACCATGATCGGACTTGTGGGTCATTCATTTCTTACCCCTAGTCTTGGTGTGGTACTGTGGGCTAATGCATCAGACTGCAAAGTTGTTTGAACTACAAGGTCAGTGGTTCAAGCTCACCAGCTGCTTCTTGGAAACCCTATACAGGGTCGCTATGGGCTGGAATCAACTGAATGGCACTTAACAACAACAACCCTTGCCCCTAACCTACTAGGAACTATGTGGTGATCCCAATAGCCTTACAAAGTCTGGGACACTGAGGGACAGCCCTCTGGTCTCTGGAACATGGGGTCATTCCTTGTGCATTCCTTTCCCTGGTCCTCGTTCCACAGAGGCCCCATGTCCAGTCTCAGCCATAACCAGTGCCATTTGTCCCATCTCCCTGTCCTACTACAACCTCTTGGGTATGACAAGAGAGCCCAGCAACCATGCAGCTGCCCTTTCTTCCTGGGGAAGCTCCCAAATCCCCCTCCAGGTGGACCACATGGATCTTCCAGTCAATGTCTCCACCCCTTCTAGAACTTTCTTTGCATAGCTTTTCTTCCAGGTCATTAGAAACTAATGCTGGCTTCTGTTTCAATGCCATCAGGCTCTTTCTTACGATTGCATCTGTTTACAGTTAAGTAATGCTGAAGGCATAAAAACATCCAGTACATACCTGCAGAAATGAACTCAGAGGCAACTTGTGGAGCCCACCATTAAAAGATCCATAAATAGATCCATGGGAGTCTTGGTGTGGCGCTGTAGGTTAATGCGCCAGACTGCAAAGCCATTAGAACTGCAAGGTCGGCAGTTTAAGCTTACCAGCTGCTCTGTGGAAACCCTATACAGGGTTGCTATGGGTCGGAACCGACTCGACGGCACTTAACAACAGTAAATAGATCCATGAGCCCTGGTGTGGTACTATAAGAGAAGCACTTGATTGGTACATACTAGCCACTCTCCGAAACCCTATACAGGCTCTCCATGAGTGGTAAACAACTCGATGGCACACAACAACAATAGGTCCAGGCCCACACCAGTGTGCCACACATCTATAAATAAGACGCTCAGGTGCCCCAAGCCTGTCACTGAGATGTAGACCCCCCTTCGTGACTCCTGTATCCTACCACTCTAGACTTTGCTTCTCTCTGACTTGTATACCTGTGGCCTGCTTTCCAGGTGACTAAACCTGGGAAATGGATGGATGTCTCTGGAGGGTCGACCACCGTGGTCCTTGGGGTGACCTCTTCTGTGCCCTCCCTGCCACTCCCCAATGTTCTCCTGATGGCCAAGGTCACCTGGCCCTGGGGTCCTTTTTCCACCTGGAGAAAACCTAGTGATGCCCCCATCATCACCCTCAGCAGGTAAAGAAAGGTTTGAAGCTGGTGGAGGAGGCATCAAAAGGGTGGAGAGGTTGAGTGTTGCAGCTAGGCTTTAGATAAGAAAAAAGGGCAGTGGTCTTGAGTGCATAGGCTAGGTAGAATTAATTTATTCATTCAACCAATACTTATTTAGCGCCTTGTCTGGTGGAGCCTAGTTTTCAAAGACCTTAGATTCTTTCAGTTTATATTTGTTGTGTCAATATAGTCCAGAGAGTTACCAAAAAAAAGGTGAAGATTGTGAAAGTCATACTGTATTTTGAGGTATTGATACTGAAATAAAATATTAGAAGTCTAGGAGACAAGGAGGCAGAGATTCCATTCTTCTTCTTGTCCTTTTAACCCAGTGGTCTTTGCCAGCAAAGTCCTAAGAGATAGTAGGAAAAGACACAGAACAAGAGTCAGAAAACTAATTCCAGTTTCTCTTAATGAGATCTAAACCTGGGCAAATCCCTCAGCTTCTCTGAACTTCAGTTTCACAGTCTATGAAATGGAACAAACACTTTTGCTTCATCAAAAGGGTGTTGTGAGGATTAAATGAGATACTATATATCAAATATTAGTCATTGTTATGGATGTGGGCAGATTATTGAATAATTTTCCAGTCTTTAACCTTTAATAATCATTGAGTCCTGGAGGTCAGAAAAGAATTAGGCCTATAACATTCAGTCTCTGAGCGTGGGGTCCCCCGTACAAAGAAGGGGGAGTCTCATGAGCGGAGTCAGGCTCTAGGTAGATGCCAACAAGGTTGATTAAAATCATGGACTCTAATTTTGTGCAGGATTCTGCCCCTGAAGTATGTAGAACTACAGATCTGTGACCGGCTTCAGCGCATCCTGAGGGTGAGGACAGTAACTGAGAAGATCTACTACCTGAGGCTCCATGAAAAACATCCCCAGGCTGTGTTTCAATTCTGGACCCGCTTGGTGAGAATTCTACAGAAAGGCCTGTCCATCACCACGAAAGACCCCAGGATCCGATTCACTCATTGTCTGGTGCCCAAGGTGTCCAGTAGCTCCACTGAGACAACAGTAAGTGGGTCTCTCCATGAGCTTGATCAGAAACGGTCCATGGACATGGAGATTGTAAGACACTGTGAGGACTGATGAGTATTAAGGGTTAGTGTTGGTGAAGGACGAGCAGACTTCCCAGTTTTCAGAGTCAGTGACAGTCTCAGAGGACAACTCAGAGTTGTCAACTGGCATCACAGAGTTCATGTCTGCATCCTAGTGAGGAGAATAACGTCTGGAGTCTTAAAAGCTTCCAAGCAGCCATCTAAGATACAACTATTGGTCTGTACTCATTAGGAGAAAGAAATAAACCAAAGTCTCAGAGAAGAAATTAGTCAACATGGTTAAAAGCCTACAAGAGCCACAGTCTTATCTACCCTAAGACCAGAAGAACTAGATGGTGCCCAGCTATCACTACCAACTGGTTGGATCAGGCTCACAATAGGACTCTGACAGAACTGGAGAAAGATTCAGAACAGAGCTCAAATTCTTACTGTGCCAGTTAAGACTAGAGAACTCCCTGAGATACTATTTAAACTTTGAACCAAAAGTATCCTCAGAAGTCCCCTTTTAGCAAAAGAACAGGTTGGCACACAAAATAATCAATGTTATACATGAGTTGTTGTTGTTGTTATGTGGCGTGGAGTTGGTTCCGATTCATAATGACCCTGTACAGGGTTTCCGAGGCTGTAAATCTTTACGGGAGCAGAAAGCCTCATCTTTCTCCCATGGAACAGCTGGTAGTTTCGAACAGCTGACCTTGAGGTTCACAGCCCGATTTGTAACCACTACGCTACCAGAGCTCCTTATATACATTAGTACAGTGTACTATTAAAAAATTATCTCCATATATGAGACCAAAGAGTCCTGGTGTGGCACTGTAGGATAAGCATTGGATTGCTAACCACAAGGTTGGTGGTTCAAACCCACCAACTACTAGTTGGAAAACCTGTCCAGGATTGCTAAGAGTTGGAACCGACTTAGGCACTTAACAACAATATGAGACCGAAAGGTCAACAATTACTCTAAAGCAAACCTGAGATGACAAGGGGGAGAGTACTGGAAATGGAGCAACCATTTAAAGGCAAATAAAGAAAATGTTGACCACTTTTCTATTGGCATTCTTAGGTTTTTCTAAGTTGATTTGTAAAGTAAAGCTCATTTATTTCAAGGATGTAAATCTTTTGCTTTCCCCTTTGGTTGTGTATCTAAAGGAGCCCTGATGGCACAGTGGTTAAAGCACTGGCTATTAACTAAAAGGTTGGCAGTTTGAACCCACCAGAAAGATGTGACAGTCCTCTTCTGTGAAGATTTACAGCTTCGGAAACCCTAGGGGACACTTCTACTCTGCCCTGCAGGACCGCCCTGAGTGGGAATCGACTTCCCAGGAAAGCTGTCCCGAGACCTGTTTGCTCAGTGCAGAACACAGAAAGCAAGAGCTTGATAGACTGGGTTGCCTAAAACCTTCAGATTTCAAGATCGAAACATTTTTTTTCCTTTCATTTAAGTTACATGCTTTAGGTATGTTACTACCAACTTTAAAAATCCAATACTTTGACCACCGTTTTACAGCTCGTCTGCATTGGTTTTTAACGTTCAGCTCTTGTGTTCTGGACAGAGGAGTCTGTCTCAGCCCATTCATAACACAGAGGACTTGATCCTGCCTGGGATCCCATTGTTGATCTGATAATTCTGGAGCTTAATGCTTAAAGACCAGGTTCCCAGGGCTAGGCTGTAAAATCCAATATCTTAGTTACTTCATGTTGTTTTTACACAAATACCGCAACCTGGTGCCTTTAAAGAACAGATACTTCTTTTCATATCAGTTCCGGAGATCTGGTGCCCAAATCAGCGTCTTGACTGTATAGGTTCCTTCCTTGTCAGCAGACCAGGAAGTTTCTTGCTTCCTTGACTTATTCTAGCTAGTAGATGACCCTCACAGGGCATCTATCTTGCTCCATGTGTATGTCTCTGTGCCTACTCTGGTCTTTTCAACAGACAGAAGTGATTGGTGCCGTAGGAAAATGCACTAGATTGTAAGGTCAGTTTAAACAGCAAGGTCTGCTGTTCAAACCCACCAGCCACTCCTCAGAAACTCTATACAAGGTCACTGTGAGTCAGAACCAACTCAATGGCACTTAACAACATCATCACTGGTTTGGTCTTATGAACATAACAAAACAAAGTACCTATTTTCAAACAAAACCACATCTACCTATACAAAATAAAAAACAGTAGTCACTAAGTTAGTGCCAGCTCCTGGCGACCCCAGGAGTTGTGTAGTGTAGAGGTGGTCTACTCCAGAGGGTTTCAAGGCTGTGACCTTTCAGAAGCACATCTCCAGGTTTTTCTTCTGGACTTCTTTGGGTGTGTATGAACAGCCGATCTTTCAGTTACTAGCTAAGCCATTTGATAAGGTAAAAGACTTCTCCCAAGGACTTCTATTCCCACACAGGATTGCATCCTCAGGCACAAGGACCAGGAATTCAGTGCATATTGGGAAGAGTGGTACACTTCAATTTAGAACACCTAGGTGTGATCCCTAGAGTTCTTTCAAGGGTCTGTTCCCAGGATGCCAAGAAGTATGGGTGAACAGGCCTGGTAATCGGACTCTGCATTTCTCCATACAGCCTGAAAGCAGCTTCCTGTCAGTCTCCCAGCTCAGTGAAAACCTCAGGCTTCTGGCAGCAGAGCAGACCAGTGGAAGTTCATTACAGCTCTCAGAACAACCCCAACTTCCAACAGCCATGTGGGTACTCCGAGAAGTCAGCTCCAGCACCCCCTTTCTGGAGCATGGAAGTTGGTTTTTGTGTGTTTTTTTAATGGTTTATCCTTTCTTTGTTGTTGCTTATTTTATTTTTTTTAGTATTTTGAAAGGTTTGCACTAATGGTGATTTTTATACTTATACCTCTATATACTATCCATACCAACCCATTGCTGCCCAGGCTGGCTGCAGTTTGAACTCATCCATTTCTCCTCAGAAAAAGATATAGTAGTGTGTTTCCACAGAGATTGTTGTTAGGTGCCGTCGAGTCCGTACTGACTCATAGAGATCTTATGCATAACACAATGAGACACTGCCCTTTCCTGTACCAACGTCATAATCATTGTTATGCTGCCGCTGTGCCAGTCCACGAAGATTGTAGCCTTGGAAATGTGCTGGGCAGTTCTAATCTGTCCTATAGTGTTGCCGTGTGTCAGAACAGACTCGATGACAATGGATTTGGTGCTTTGAGTTTTGATTCATAAGTGATTTGGTCTTTTTGCCTGAATGGCCAAAGTAATTTTCTGTTTGCTACACTTTCTTTTTCCCTTAAAGCCCAGTAGTTTCACCAGCATATAACAATTCTGGTCATTCTTGGTCAAATTTCCCAGGTGCATGATGTGTCCTTCCTTATATGTGATTTCAAGTCTCTCTCTTTTCTTTTTCCCCCCAAGGTCGTTTTCTTGAATTATAACTTTGCTTTTTTGACGGGGGGAGGTACTCCTCTTATGCGTATGTTGGACCATCTTTGCTTATCTACTATGTTGTTGTTGTTAAGTGCTGTCTACTCTGCCACGTTAAAAAAAAAATCTTGTCCTTTTGATCTTCTATTTTCTATAAGGCATTTTCTGTTCTACTTTTCTCTTGTGTTCTTTCCAGTTTAGACTTCATTTTGAGCTCTTAAGTTTTTCTAATTTCTCAGTTCTATTACTTCATTTATAGATCTTTTAAAGTCTGACTATTTGTGTTCTTTGATATCTTGCATCATTTTCTTAATTTCTCTCAGCTTCTTTTGCAATACTGTGTTATAGCTTTCATTCACACCTTCCTAGTGAGCTTTTGCTATCTGTAAGGATTTATTATGATCCATGTTGTCTTTTTTTCTTGCATAACTTTGCATGGGATTTGATTGTGTGATCCTTTTTTGATGCTAGTTTTTATTGAACTTGGCTCCCCTGAGCTTTTTGGGAATGAGAAATGAGTCAGGCGAGTTTTTCCAGTTTTCCTCCCGTGCTCCCTCTAGTGTTGATTTCGTGGCTCCTACTTGTCTGACGAGTGGCGGTTGCGTACTTGCTGTTAAATAGGAATCTCCTTGTGCTAGGGCCAAGTCCGGCTCAAAGGCGGGATTTCCATTCTCAGATGTCAATCAAGAGGCGGAAGCGCAGCAGGGGAGACTGGGTTGTAGTGAGAGGCTTTGGGCTGCACTTGTGGGTCTCTAAGTTGGTCGACCACGCCTCAAAGCCACCATCTGACGTGGGAAATTGGGAAAGGTGTGCGACAGGGTTGTGTTCTTTCACCATACTTGTTCAATATGTATGCTGACAAATAATACAAGAAGCTGGGTTCTATGAAGGAAAATGTGGCGTTAGGATTGGAGGAAGACTTATTAACAACCTGAGATATGCAGATGATACAACCTTGCTTGCTGAAAGTGAAGAGGACTTAAAATATTTATTGATGAAGATCAAAGAGCACAGCCTTCCGTATGGATTACAACTCAATGTAAAGAAAACAAAAATCCTCACCAATGGACCAATAAACAGCATTCTTATCAATGGAGAAGAGATTGAAGTTGTCAAGGACTTCATTCTTCTTGGATCAACTATCAACACTCAGGGAAGCAGCAGTGAAGAGATCAGACGACGTATTGCATTAAGCAAATCTGCTGCACAGGAACTTTTTAAAGTATTGACGAGCAGAGATGTCAGCTTGAGGACTAAGGTGCACCTGACCCAAGCCATGGTATTTTCAATAACCTCATATGGATGCGAAAGCTGGACAGTGAATAAGGAAGATCGTAGAAGAATTGATGCCTTTGAGTTGTGGTGTTGGAGGAGAATACTGAAAGTGCCATGGACTGCCAAAAGAACCAATAGATCTGTTTTGGAAGAAGTGCAGCCAGAGTGCTCCTTGGAGGCCAAGATTGCTAGGCTTCGTCTCTCATACTTGGACACATTGTCCGGAGAGAACAGTCACTGGAGAAGGATGTCATACTGGGTAAGGTGGAGGGTCAGAGAAAAAGAGGAAGACCCCCAACGAGATGGATCAGCCAGGCGGCATCATTGATGGCATCAAGTGTGGCGGCGGTAGTGAGGTTGGCCCAGGATCGGACATTGTTTAGTTCTGCTGTGCATGGGGTCGCTATGAGTCAGTTTGGACTTGATGGCACCTGACAACAACAACAACAACAACTTGTCTGAGGTTCCTTGGTTGTGTTTTCCTTTTCCACCTTTCTGTTTTCTTTCCTTCAACTGTCCCTGTTCTGCTCAGTTTGTATTTGAATTCCACTTCTAGTAGTTTTTCATTGGTGTAAGGCTTTGTCTTGTCAAGGAGTTTTTGAGAGTTCACAAGACACATACTAATCCAGTTGCTTTAGACTTTACCAAGAGCCCCTTGCTCTCAACTCACAGTTTCTGATGTTTTTCTCAAGTTGGTCTGTCAAAATTCTATTGAGTAGCTATGGGAGATTTAGGCATTCTCCTGTTTAGTTCAACATATGTTGTCATTATTAAGTGCTATTGAATTGGTTCTGTATAGGGTTTCCAAAGAGCAGCTGGTGGGTTTGAACTGCCAGTCTTGTAGTGATGATCCTATAGAGCTACATACTCACCACTAGTTCTTACATTGCTATAAATTGAATTATTTGTTATGTGAAGCCTTTCCTTTAATAGATTCCTCAGAAAATCCTCAAATGAATAATATTCACTGAATTCTACCCTACTTCCTCTCACACAGACACTGATACATTACGGGTCTGGTAAATGTTTGTAGCAGTAACGTTAGCTCATCAGCTCATTTCAAATAGGTCTTTTACTTGGAGGAATCTTATCAACCTGAACTGAGGGAGATACCCACGTCAGGTTTGTTTTTGTCAGATGCCTCATGGGTGTTATGGACTTAGAGGAAAATTTTTAATATTAGTTTCTCAACTTGGGACTAAGTTCAGACCTCAAACTAGCACGAGGACAAGCCCAGAGATGTGATTTTTTTGGGGGAGACACTCCTTTGGACCCAGAACCCAGGTGGGTACAGATGAGCTTACCTGTGGCATTGAATGGATATCTTTGCAGTGTAGCCTTTCATTGAGGGTGTGCATTCTGACAGTCCTGGATGCTTGTAAATATTTCAGCCAACTCCCCACAAAGCTCATTCAGACTTCATCTCCTGTCTCACGTAACCATGGAAACCCAACCCTCAGTTACCAAGACTGACAAGTTTTCCCTGGCAGCCCTAGCTTTAGCCCACACTCCCTTCTCTGGTCTTTAGATTACTCTTGCTTTTTGGTCCCTCAAAATTTCCTTTTCTTTTTTTTTTTTTAAAGTTTTTGTTGTGAATTTTGAGTGACAGTTTACATGGGAAAGCATCGATTTTACACTCATCCTATCATATTTCTTTTCATTGCAATGATTACAATCACCTCAATGAATCATCATTCAACAGTATTTGCTTCTATTCTCTCTGGTTTGTTTTTTTATTTACACAAAAACACTCAGAAATATATAATCATTTAAACAACTAAAGGGCACATTCTGCAAGCCTGCCTCCTGGCCACCAGCACACCCTTTTCTCTTTCCATAAGTTTAGAGACCTTAGCTGCTCTATCTCTCCATGTCTTCATCTCTGCCTCCATCTCTGGTGTCGCTGCTTCTCTGGATAGAGTCCTGCATTCTGCTCATGCTCTTCTCCCTTTTTGTCCCTTACTTTTTGTGGGTTCAACAGTGTATTTGAAGCTATGCTTATTATATTTGATCCAGCATTTCTAGGTATTTTGTAGCCATGCAGCTTTCAGATTGTTCACCCTTATTGCCAGCCTTTAACTCAATATGCTAAAATTATTTTCACTTAAAAACTAACAGTGACAAATTAAAGCTCACTGCATTTTGTCTCTGAATATGAACAGTGTGATATTTCTTTTCGTTTTTAATAGTTCTATTTTTAAAACATGTATCCATTTGATATTGGAATTTTTTGGTTTTATTCCCACTGTTTTTTTGTTTTGTTTTGTTTTGTTTTGTTTTAAGACACACTGTGATTGTTACTTTTTAAGAAATTGTTCATATTTTGGGGAACTGGCTTAAGCTTGTACTTCAACTAATGCCCCCCATCTGGCAGATTTATATGGGTGTTAGGCAGATCCCAGTGGGTTCAGGTTTTGCTTTTGAATCATAGTTGGTTAGGCTCTTAGTGCATGAAAGCAATGCTTAAGGTTTGGAGAGGTATCCAACCCACCCACTTCAGCAAAGCCAGCCTTCCCTGCTTGACTTTCTCCCCTGAAGGCATCTTGGTGGCGGTGGTTATGTGCCATGGAGTCAGTTCCGACGAACAGCGGCCCTGTACAGGGTTTCTGAGGCTGTAAAGTTTTACGGGAGCAGAAAGACTCCTCTTTCTCCCATGGAACAGCTAATAGTTTTGAACTGCTGACTTTGAGGTTAGCAGCCCAACTTGTTAACCAATATGCTGCCAGAGCTCCTTCAAGGCATCTTAGCTGTATCATATGTAAACATCATTACCCATCATTTCCATATTCATACCCAAGGTACTACTGTTGTTTTTGTTATAGTTTTAAAACATTTTTATTACATTTTTACTACAGTTTTCAAATTACATTTTTAACAATGTTTTGGTTTTCTTTTATTGCTTTCAATGACTCTGAAATCCCTGGGCTCCAACAGAAATACCAACATGACCATTAAAATGGACAATTGCAACAGCAGTGACAAGACAGCCTCCCCAGCGGTAACTCCTGTCACTTCTAATATACCCTTGAGAGCCACCTTGAGTCACAGCCTGTGGGAACAAGAGAACTCCAATGAGCCCTTGTGTGAAGCGCCAGTAGCCAGTTCCCTAGGAGAGAACTTCTGGGGACACTGACCCTCAGCTAAACCAGTGTAACCATCCCTTCACTTCAGTGCACTTGCTACAACCGCCCACATGGCTCTTCCCTTTTCCAGGCCAAGTGACAGGGAGAGACAAGATGGCATTTATAACAAGGCATGTCATGTCTGTACTTCCACCAATAAACCTCCTGGTGTGTCTATTGTTGTAGCTGATTGTTCTCTAGGGATTTGAGGTTGAGGGAAGAGTGGTTAGGAACAGGCATTCACTCTGAGGAAATAAATTTAAAAAAATAAAATAAAAAGTTACTGCCTATTAAAACCCAGGAAGCCAGTCCAGAGAAAAGGACTGTTCCCCTGTTCCAGAGATATAGGGGTGCCTAGGAAAACAGAGGCAGGGATGGCACAAATCTAAATATGGTGGGACCAATTAGGAGTCACCTTTGTGTTGCCTTTGTCTCAAGTAAAAATTGTAGCCTGTTACCTCCCCACTCCTATTGAAGCTCCGAGGGCTTACTGTGTGCATATAGATGTTGATTAAAGACATGACTTCTGATAAGAAAGATGGTGCTAATGAATTGCGACTGTCACAATTGTAAAGGTAGAAGTTTTATAACAAAAATGGGGGAGTAGTTAATCTTACAGTCCAGAAACAGAGGACCCGAGTACCATCAAGGGAGAAGAGACCCTATCCAGAGAAGCAGTGACACCAGAGATGGAAGCAGAGATGAGGACATGGAGAGAGAGAGCAGCTGAGGACTTTAGACTCATGGAAAGAGAAAGGCTGTGTGCTGGCGGCTAGAAGACAGGCTTGCAAAATGTGCCCTTTTGATTGTTTAAATTATTATATATTCCAGAGTGTTTTTGTGTACATCCTCTCTCCACCCAACCCCCCACTCCCCCAAATCAAATACTGTTGAATGATGATGCATGGAGGAGATTGTAATCATTGCAATGAAATGATGGTGTAAAACCAATGTTCTCCCATGTAAACTATCACTCAGTTCACAATAAAAACTTAAAAGAAAAGAAAGATGAAGACCATTCTGGCACTAGAGGCCTTGATAGATTTGACTCTTCCAGCCCAATGCCTAGCAGAAGCAAAGTGGAAGACAAGGTGTATTAGGGGTGGGGGTGGGAACTTCGGGCAGCTTCTAGACAAGTAGACAACGTTTACTTGTAAGGCTGCACTGCAGTATTCAACACGTTTTTATTGAGTGTCTGTAGGGGGCCAGACAACATGCTAACTAATTCTGGTTATAATAGAGATAGAGGAAGACATACAGACACTCTATCGGCCTTAAGGGAAGGCTTGGGAGAAATATTGTTATGAGTTGATTTGTGTCTCAAAAAAAAAAGATTTATTGAAGTCCTAATCCCCAGTACCTGTGAATGTGACCTTATATGGCCATGGGGTCTTTGCAGGTGTGATAAAGTTAAGATGAGGTCATTAGGGTGGGCCCTAGTCCAATCTGACTGGTTTCCTTATAAGAAGAGGAGAAGAGACACAGACGGAGAGAAATAGGGAGACAGACATGTAATGGCAGAGAAAGAGATTGGAATGATGCATCTACATGCCAAGGACATACCAGCAACATCAGGAGCTAAGAGAAAAAGGCAGGGAACACATTTTCCTCAAGAACCTTCAGAGGGAGCATGACCCTTCTGACATTTTGTACTTGGACTTCTGGTCTCTAGAACTGTGAGACAATAAATGTCTACTGTTTAAAACCATCCAGTTTGTGTTAATTCGGAATGGCAGCCACAGGAAATGAATACTGATACACAGCCCTGTTCTGAAGACATAGAAGGACATCAAGGTTGAGGAGATGTTGAGACTTCCAGTTTGCAAATAGGGCCTCTTCTGGAGTTCACACTATGTCTGATGTGGAGAAAAAGCAGGTCTGCCTTCCTCTGATCCACACTTAGTTGAGCTGAGCTGGAAATCCGGACCAGGCTGGCCTGGGAAGACAACTAAAAGGATACCTAATGTTTGTGTGTTTTTTCCTGCCTCCAGTAAAAATAAAAGCAAAACAGAACTGAGAGTTGTAGGTACTATGAGGGAGATTTAGAAGGTGAACTTGGAAAATAATAATGCAACATCATACTTCCCAATCTATGCCAATTGTCCTAGGTATCATTAATAACTGTGTACCCATTCACTCTCAAGTGTGCCTGTACCCCTTCACACCCACTCGGATGAATATTATAAAAAAGTGCAAAATAGCAAGTGTTAGGGAAAATGTGGAGAAATTGGAACCCTTCTCCATTGCTGGTTGTTGTTGTTGTTAGGTGCCATTGATTCGGTTCCTACTCATAGCAACACTAGGCACAACTGCCCGGTCCTGCACAATTGTTACATTGAGCCAATCTTCACAATTGTTAGATTGAGCCTCCTGCTGGCTGCCTCTGTGCCAATCCATCTTGTTGGGGGTCTTCTTCTTTTTCACCAATCCTCCACTTTACCAAGCATGATGTTTTTCTCCAGTGACAGGTCCTTCCTGATAATATGTCTGAAGTATGAGACACGAAGTTTCACTAACCTGGCTTCTAAAGAGCATTCTGGCTGTACTTCTTCCAATACAGATTTGTTTGTTTCTCCTGGCAGTCCATGGTATTTTTTTTTTTTTTTAAAGGTTTTTATTGTGGGTTGAGTGAAGTTTACAGGGCAGATCATCAGTTTTACATTCAACAAACCATACACCATTTTCATTACAATCATTATAATCCCCTCCATGTACCATCAGTTAACAGTATTTCTCTCTATTCATTTTAGCTCTTTTTTTAAACACTCAGATATATATAATAATTTATACCACCAAAGGGCACATTCTGCAAGTCTGCCTCCTGGTCAACAGCTTTTAGTCCCTCTCTTCCCATGAATCTAGAGTCCTCAGCTGCTCCTTCTCTTCATGTCCCCATCTCTCCCTCCATCTCTGGTGTCACTGCTTCTCTGGATAAGGTCTCCCATTCCACTTGTGCTTTTCTTCCTCGATGGCCCTAGGGTCTTTAGTTTCTGGACTGTAAGATTAACTACTCCCCCATTTTTGTTACAAAATTTCTACCTTTACAACTGTGACAGTCGCAATTAGTCATGATAACAATTACTCACTATTTAATCATCAGAATCTTATCCCCATCTCTTTTAACAGACCCATCTAGACATGATGAAAACTACTCAGTGGGGATTCTTTCTTCCCCCACACACTGTTAAACTAAACTACCCCTTGAAATCAGTCACTTCATGCCACTATCACCCCCTCATTTTAGGTAGCCTAAGTTGTCCATCCCTATCTGCCTTTTGTACAGAGGGGATAGCATTGATACTTGATGTGAAGATTCCTTACCTCTCTGTTGGTATTTAGAATTACTACCTCTGTGAGTATAGGTCAAGTTCATCAAATTGTAGCAATTTACCTGCATTTTCTTTATCAAAAATTATTTTTGTTCTTTTTTTTTTTTTTTATCTTCCTCTAGTCAAGTTCTGATTATCAAGCCATCAAGACTATATCAAATGGGTACTATCTGCAACTTTGGCTGTTCTTGCATGGCGCTTTTAATATTCTCCAACACCATAACTCAAATGCATCAATTCTTCTATGGTCTTCCTTAGTCATTGTCCAATTTTCACACGCATATGAAGTGATTAAAAATACTATGGCTTCGATCAGGCACACCTTAGTTTTCAAACTGATATCTTAGCTCTTGAACATTTTAAAGAGGTCGTGTGCAGTGAACAACACATAGTTTGATCTCAACTGCTGCTCCCATGAGTGTTGATTGTGGATCCAAGTAAAATGAAGCCTGGCAACTTCAGTCTTTTCTCTATTTATCATGATGTTATTTATTGGTCCAGTTGTGAGAATTCTTGTCTTCTTTACATTGAGGTGCAATCCATACTGAAGGCTATAGACTTTGATCTTCATCAGTAAGCATTTTAATTCCTCTTTGCTTCCAGCAAGCAAGATTATATCATTTGCATATCCCAGGTTGCTAATGAGTCTTCCTCCAATCCTGATGCCATGCTCTTCTTCATATAATCCAGTTTCTT